GGGGGCAGTGGCGTCCTGGGTGGTGGCCCAGGACGCCCTGCACGCTGCCCCGGGGGGGACGGCGGTTGCCTCGGTGGTCCGGGCACCGCCGTAAAGATTAGTTCGTTTGGTCGGGGGAGGTCTTTTGATCTCCTCCCGGAAAGGGCTCGAAAGAGCAAGGCGCGGGGGTCCCAGTTGTGTTCTTTAGATTTCCTTGGGCCCCCAATGCGTCATTGAAGGACCACCGTGGGGGTTTTAGTGGGTAAGAATCCCACATAACCCTGTGCCCTCCCCCAAGGGCGCGGTGTATCTTTGGAAGATTTCCCCAACGTTAAAACAAAAAAAAAAGTTTGTTGACAAGCCTCCTTCTGGAAGCAAGTTATGCTGCAGAAGGCCGCAGAATGAGTCCTTGAATGGGCGGACCCGCGTAGGAAAGCTAGAGAAATGACAACACCCCGCGCTGTTGATTCATAGATGGGGGGAGCAATCAGGGCCACTGTGGGCCACAAGCAGACTCTCCCAGATGAGGGTTGCAGACCAGCGATACCTCGTTTCTATCATAAGTCCGCCGGCCTTCCGGGCCGCTTTACCAGTGCCGGCGGGCAAACGGCCGAGGAAGCCTTGTGCTCTTCATAAAGATTAATTTTGTTTTAATTGGCAAGGTCGGAAAGACTTCCCCCGGGATGACATTCAATAACGCGGGGACCCCAGTCATGTTCTTCAAGAATTCCTGGGGTGCGTTCATGCCTCGGGGAAGAACCACCGTGAGGGATTTAGCCGATAAGAATCCGGCATAACCTTGTGCCCCTGAAGGAGGAATCTTTGGAACATTTCCCCCTCGTAAAAAAAAGGTTTGTTGCCAAACAGTCAAGTCAGTTTCTGGACTTAAAAAGAAAGCTTTGTTGACAACATATTCTTACTCACGTAGTTATCTTTTAATCAATACAAATAAAAACTCGGGAAATCATAAATAGAGTACTACCCTATACGTAAACACGAGTTCATTGATCCTGTGCACTGTATAGTGTGAATCTCACTTCAACTTAGGCAGTACATAAAAAGTACATATTCGCTTCTCTGCACTTTAAATAACTTTCCTTTCGGTACATCATAACTGTTTGCACACAAAAACCAATTTTTTATATGTGGCAGTAAAGCCATAAATCGTGTAGAAAGTTTTGGAGGTCCTTGAAGACCTAGGCTTGTTCAAGCGTTTTTACGCATAAGCCCTTGTTTGCCTTTTAGACCCATGTGCCTATTTTGCTTCGTGCGAAAAACCGATGGAAAATTCAGCAGAAACGTTCTGCCCATCATAGCATTCGCATCGCGCCTTTTTTTACAATAGTTATAGTTCACATTTTTGTAAAGGCATATCGTTGTTATTTGTTATTGTTATTATTATTGTTATTGTTTTATTAAATATAACTTTGTTGTCTGTTACTCCGTGTCATAATTACTTCGCATTATCCTAAATATGTCTATTAATGCTCAAAATAACTGCTATATTTTTCAACCTTTTTTATGTATTCCTTTTGTAGTAATGCTACAAGGGAAGGACCAACAAGACAACATACCATATATGTCAGATTTGTGCAGGATGTCTCGTAACTTGTGTTACTACCTGAAAGAGGTGGTAGAGGATGACGTTCTAAACAAGCTTTTCCTTTGCAAAAATGGGGTTTGAAGTTTCGTTTTTGAATTATTAAGGAAATACATGGACCAATCACAACACGAATAGTTTGCGCGCTCAGACGCGAGAGCAACAGCTTCGAAAATGACGGTCCATTGTGATCATAAACAAGTGCATCGATACTGCGTCGCTGTAGCATTGGTTGTAACGAGGCATATTTTCGTTTATTTGTCTTCTCTTTTTTAACCGACTTCGAAAAAGGAGGAGGTTACTCAATTCGATCAGTATATATATTTTTGTTTTTTTCTATGTATGTTCACCGATTACGCCTAGCTGGGTGGACCGATCGGCACGAAACCTTTTGCATCTGGTAGGTTCTGACTCCCCATTGGTACCATTATCAAAAAATTTTTCATTTTTTAATTGCAAAGCGTTGTTATTGCAAAAAAACCGGCAACTTTTGAAATAAACTTTTCTCGATTTTAGTGCGCTTTTAATATCT